CTCAATTTGAATATTTCTTGTTGAACAAATTTATACAGACTACTCAAATATGTATGAAAATAGGATAATACGTTCGATAGAATTAATTATTTTTTTCCATCCTAAAAAAATTCACGAAAAACCGCTTTTTTTGGACCTCCTAATTCAGGATACCCCCTTAACACACATGTGAACAGGGGGTTGATTGAATAACTGAAAGAAATAATTCTGAAGCTATCAAATAAGGTGCCGAGTAAAATGAATCTGGATAGCATAGATAAATTTGTTAAATTTTGAGCTTTGCAAGTTTTAATAAAGAAATGTTAGGGGAGGAAAATATGGAATGGGTCACTAAAGAGTTTCACGCCGTATTGTTATATCCTAAACGCTTCTACTTGTCAGACACGTACCCGCTCAATCCCAAACTTTTTCTCTTCTGTTCTATCGCACGTCTGTCCAGAACATCCAAAGATTCCTAATCCTAACAAAATTCTAACATCCTAAGAAAATTCACGAAAAACCGCTTTTTTCGGACCTCCTAATTCAGGATACCCCCTTAAGTTAATTTGCAAGTTCGGGAATGGATCGTCTGGCCGTTGTCCTTTGTCTCGACTGTAGGTCGCGTTCGGATAGATGATAAAGAAGATAGGCCAACGACGTGGTCATCCCATAACGAAACGCGGTGTCAGTTAAGGGGTTGTGGAGACGGTGAGACGGGCCCCGTTCAATCGATCCGGGTAGCACGTGCTCGACCATAAGCGGGCGCAAATAAGCGGGCATAAAAATAAATGTCACGCGGAACCAAGTCGCCACTCTCCCTTTTTCTCTGTTCGTTCGCTCGGAAAGCCGCTTGTTCCCTTCTTTCTCCATCGCTTCTCCGCCTGGCGGCTCGTGGAACCCGTAAATATCGAGGGACAGCTGAAGACACACGCGCGCCTTTACACAGACGTATTTATGCGCCTCGATACACGACAATTCAAACACCTCGATCGAAGTAAAATCAAAAAGTATTACGTTCTAGCTGGGAGAACGAGTTATTACCTAGCGGGAAAGTTCAACTTTCCTCGAGTATCCCGCGTACAGAGTTGCTCCTGAACGAATGGTAAACAATTTCCATCTTATTAGCCTTCTATGGGGCCCAATTTTTTTTCTGGGAACAACTTGCGAGGAATCAGTTTGATATTTCAGGTTGATGGTGCTGCTAACCGAGATTAATATTGATATTGGTTACCAGAGACATTATGTAATTAACCCTTTGGGACCTGGCGTTTATAATTGAGGAAACAAAATTTAAAAATTATCGACACTATCATTTAGAGCGAATATTAATAGGTTGTTGGTCACTAGTAATCGATAGTTTGTAAATACAATGTATATTTAGAGTAAAGTTAGTGGTACTATAGATACCATAAAATAAAAATGACTCGAATTATTGAATACACGGTCTCTCTAAAAAGAAACCGAACTTTTGCTACAAAAAGAAAAAAGTATTAGGTTGTCCCGAAAGTTTCTTTCGTTTTATTAATAATTAATATATACACAATATTTTATGTTTTATGTTACATTACTAAATTGTGTACAATTCATTTCGCTTCATTACTGTTACAGCATCAATGCTGTAAGAAACTTTTGGGACAACCTAATAGAAGTAAAGTTTTTACACACACGTTTATTTACTCAAAATAATCTCCCTCTGCGTCAATACAGCGTGTAGACCGCGTAATTGGAATTGGCATTGTTACCTTGGATCATCCACCCTACTCGCCTGATCTGTCTCCCTGCGATTATTTTCTTTCCCCAAAATTGAAAATTCCAATGAAAGGGACACATTATAGCAACATTTCGGAGATTCAGGCCGCTGTAACCGCCGTACTAAACGGGATACCAAAACAGGAGCTGCAAAGGTCCTTCGAAATGTTAATTACGCGGTCTACGCGCTGTATTGACGCAGAGGGAAATTATTTTGAGTAAATAAACGTGTGTGTAAAAACTTTACTTGTACTTTTTCCTTTTAATAGTAAAAGTTCGTTTTTTTTTTTTAGACAGACCGTGTATTTCCATTCTTCGTTCGAGTTAACATCGAGGCTAAACAAAAACTTTCATATTCGGTTGCTTCTTCTTGGAATGACATACAATCTGTTCGATAGGAGCTGTAGATACTTCAAAGAGAATCTGTAAATGGGAGGGCAGGAGGTGACGAAGATTAAGAGGGCAAAATAGGATGCCGAAAGGGGATGAAGAGGTGATTGGAGGACAAGACGTATTCCAGATCTTGGTCTGGAAAGCTGCAACCGGTTCAGAATTCTGTAATCGTAGTTAAACGCACCTCGAGGCGCTGTGTTTAAATCCAAAAACGGCTGTAACACCGACGATACCTCTTAAACCACTTTAATAACGCTTCGACGCATCGCGAATTTAAAATTACACTGACGATTTATTCGGGCAGCACCGATAGAGATCGCATCGGACGCCAAGAACTGCTCGCCTCAGTGATGAAAACTAATAAACCGCAACAACGCGAGCATATGCATCGACGATGTCTTCGTGCGTGAATATTAAGCGCAGAAATTAATTCTGTGGCTTTAGATCCAATCGTTTGCAACTCTTATTCGAATACGAATATTCAACCGCCATTTTGTTACGTTGACGTAGCAGCCCCATCGTTTATGTATTTAAAATTGGTTTTAACAATAAGGGTTGGTCTTTCTTTTTGTAATTATATGAAGATGACCTCGTTTGATTAACTTGTATTTTTTTTGTAGCAAATTTTTCAAATTCTTCAAACTTGGTTCGTCTCAAATAGTTCATTTTTTAACGCTACTGACACGCTATATATTCACTACATATATTCGCTACATTTAATTGACCTAATACTTCGTAAGTTACGAAAGAATGGTTTTCACAATAAACAAGATATTTGATAAGGACTTATTATGCAGATTATAGAATACTCGAATAGTAGAGTGTACGTATGGTTGATTTTATTTGAATAACAGAACTTTTGTTACTGTCTACGATTAAATGTAAGCAGTACTCGACATCCACAATTTCAAGCGAGAGAAGCATCGCGTGTCTCTGTATATTTAACTTCTAAAAGCATCAGGTATTACTTCTTCCCTCGAGATTATTCAATCATCAACGGGACGAGTGGCACGAGCCGTTCGATCAACGGATCACCTTATTAAGATTACAAGGGCTGCTTGTAGTGGTTGCAAAATCTAGGTCACGCGTAATAAGGCGTAACCGATTTTTATTGGCACCTGCCATCCAAACTCGCGACGAACCGTTTAATCGTCTTATCGCATCGTGCGTTGGTATTTCTGCAGCTTGCGAGGGAATCGTGTTCACAGCATTTTACGGGCTTCGATTACTTTCAGCGCCGTGGTTTTGTTTTACAGACGTGCCGTTTACGAACGCTGATATTTTATTTTTAACGACGAACCGTGGCGATATTCGAATGGAAAAAGTTGGCCAAAATTATTGGATATGTATACCTTCTAACTTTGTGCAAAACAACGATAGATTTTCAACGTTTACAAGAATAACAATCTTTTTTTAATATTGGGTGGAGGATGATATACAGTGGGTGTAGTATGTATTCGTACACCCATCAATTTCCCAAAAAACTTTTTTGTGAAATTGTAGTTTCTTAACTTCTTTTTTTATAATTAATGATATTTTACATATTCTCGGAAGTCTCTAAGATAGATATAGTCCGAACAACATTTACTAGTTAATATAATTTGTGAAATTAACAAAAAAATGCGAAAAGTGGGTATAGAAGCAATAAGTATATGTACGATTCTTATGACGAAACATTTACAGTAGAGTTTGTAACGTAAACACATTAGTTTATTGCTCCGTACGAATTAGAAAACATGAAATTTACAGTAAAGTACTTTTAAGAAAGGCTCTAATAGAAGAATGGAAGAAGATCCCATTTCTTATTAACTTCTAACTAATAATTTAGTTAAGTTAATGCTTAGAAAAGTTACAATAATTATAAAATCAAAAGGATATCCCTACGCAGGAAGTATTATATACATGTAAATTAATGTAAATTTCTTTTTTTTTAATCAAGTTTTAAAGATTAAACAGTTGCGCGAATACTTATTGCTTCAATATTTCTATCGATTAATCGTTTTTTTCTTGTTAATTTCGCAACTTACATAAATAGCTATTTTTTTTTGTAATCTATCTATTCTAGAGATTTTCGAGAATATGTAGAATGTCATTGTTTATAAAAAATAAGTTAATAAATTACAATTTTATATAGTTTTTTTGGAAATTGATCGGTGTACGAGTACTTTCTACACCCACTGTATGTGAAACAATTGGAAAATTGTTGCTACAGAGTTTGAAATTTTCCAAGACAATTTGATGACTTAAACTACACCTGTATGAATCGATTCATATCATCAATGCATTTATCATTAATCAATTAATTTAGAGAAACATCCCGAAGGGAACAGATGAATAATAGCAAAATTTAATTAATTAAAAAGTAAAGGAAAAAGAAATCAAACGGTATATATATATAAACATATAAAAAGGATTCAAATTACGCGCGTCCTATAGTGGAGCCATCTCGCGGTGAATAGATCGAACTAAAATCCCGACCTCCGATCAGCGCACCACCGGGAAAACGCCCAAGCTTGTCCTCGAATAATTCCGAGTCTTATGACTAGATGGCGCCATTAACTAAAGGATCGATAATTATTGGTGAATTAAATAACTATTCATAAAAATGGTAAATTGGACATATTAAAAAGTGATATACACCAAACAATTATAATAATTAAGCATTTATAAAAAAAAAGTATTGATTAAAATGTATTGATGGCGTCATCTAGTAGTAACAGTGAAAATTAGTTTCACTACTAACTTGGGCGTTCTCGTACCGATGGCGGCACTAAGCCCATTATATAGATAAAATTCAGCTTTTATTTTATTATACAGTTTACTTTGTTTTATTGATTGTTTACATCGAAGTACTGTATTCTATATTGTTGTTAAACTATAGGTAAATAAAACATTGTTGGTTTTATCTAAGTAAGTATATTTCTTTATTTTATACATGTGCTTGGCAAGACAAATGTCTAACAAAATTTACATAATTGAACGAAGTAATTTTTGATGAAAAAGGGGTGGCACATATTCTAGAAACACCCCTTAGTAAACTATTTTCATATCATTATTTAATATGCATTATGTAATAAGATAAGGTGCAAAGAAGTTCAATGCATTCACTTAGGTACAAGACACACTTCTATATCAATGGCTCACAGTACACATATTGTATGTCTACTTTTAGAGTTTCTGATAACATTGATTTCATGATTCAACGACGATTTAAAATTGAATAAATAATTTGTGTTCTTTGGCACGGATATACATTTGTGAATGAAAAATAGTTATTATAATATATTTATATAATAGATAAAGGTATCACATTCATGGAGTATAAAGGAAGAGCAATGGACCATTTGTAGCGTATCAAAACATAAATTTAACAAAAAGTGAACATACAATATGGGGCATATGTTACTTTATTTCATGGGATCCATATTTCATTGAACCCATATTATGTGTTAAGACATTATCTGCATAATTGTTTCACTATTTTCATAAAAATTTACAGTGTGTAACTAAAATATCTATGAACCTTTGTCCTGTGCCACCAAATATGAAAGCTTAGTATAAAACATAAATAACCTGTACAATCAAATGTAATCTATGAAAAATTCTTATATGAATGTGTTAATAATCCAACTTTTAACCTCAATAAAAGTTTTGAAATTATCTCCACTACTTATACATAGATGTAAGCGGCTTGTGATTTTGATTGAGGTTTGTTGTATTATCATACTATTGCAACAAGTGTAACAAAAATAAATAAATTTATAAATCACTTTTCACATTTTCTAAGTATAATATACAGCTTATATACTCTTTTGTAAAATAGTGACTAGATTTTTCTTTGTTCATATTAAATAATTTTCGTGCATTATCTTTACCATACCTTATACTTCCTATCATCAATTTGTGTTAAATTTCTTTCCATCTTATACCAAATATTGGAATGTACACGTACATAACTTAAAAATTCCAAAAATAAGATTCAGTTAACCATATTCACCAACAAAGATGCTTTGTTGCAATATGTAATATTAAATTCACAGGGATGTTGATACCAGGGCTCGCCGTCAATTTGCATAGCGTACGATTTTAACAATTTTACCTGTATTTTATGAAACATTTATAAGACAATAGTATTATATTGATGTAAAGTAAATAAAATAGTTATTAATCGTATTTTCCTGAAAAAGGGTTAAATTAATTGTATAATATATGAAATACCTTTATAGTACTAGCTTGACCAATGCGATAAGGCTGAGAAAGTCCTACTTGAAGTTGGGCCATATGAAATGAAGAATAAAGAGCAACTACTTCTAGCTTTCCATCATCGATACTTTGCTTTCCATATTCTTCATGGCCTATTTAATATAAAATGCTTTTTTTTAAAGATACATACTTTACAAATTTTTCTCCACTTTTTAACATTCATATGTATAAAAAAATAAAAGACCTTCTAGTCCTATATTCCAAAGATTCACACCAGCAGCCCAAGATGGAATGTTCAATATCACAATACCTTCTATAGAAGGTAAATCCACTTTCTTGTCATCCAAATACAGTTCTACGTTTTTATCAAGGTCCTTGCATTCCCTTTCTACTACTTGTTGAGTACCAAAACATAAATACAGTAGCTGTCAAAAGCACAAAAAATACACGTATTTTTATACAATTTAAAAGGTAAATAACAAATACAGTACACTACCTTGTTAAACAATCTACTACTATAAAAATAGAATCGACTTTCTCTTGTACGATGAAATTGTAACGTCACTTGTGCGTCGACTCCCACGCTTATATAGTTATACATATGAAACGTCTGAAGTGAACCCCTAAGTCCCAATCCGCTAGTTGGTTTGATCACCACAGTCCACCTAATAAATTATTAATATAAATGTAAATATGTAACGTATATATTCATATCTATTGCATATTTTCTGTGCACCTATCAAGTTTCACTTTTTGTGCTATTTGTATTTCTTGCAGGATATCCGCAGGGTCCTTATCTGGGTCGTGTTCCTTTCCCCACCCTAACACTCTTGATAAATCATTTCCTGTTCCCAGAGGAATTATTGCTACAGATGGAACTGGCTATTTCAAATAAAAATATCTTGTTCAAATGTATGAGTGATAAACATTAATTTCTCAACTACATATTTTCAATACGTCGTTGTAGACCTATTACATCGTTGACACAAAAAAGGTCCAAAGTTCGTGTCAAAATGAGTGACATAGACTTTGAACATATCATTTAAAAGATAACTCAAATTTAATAATCATTTCGTAATCATTGATAAACTCTATTCATCATTTCAGTGTATAGAATCACGTGAATTTTGGGGCATCACTTTCCTTTCACTATGTATTACCTTCAACTGAAGTTTATGAATAGCATTTAATAACCACGCTATCGTCCCATCTCCTCCTGCCACTAGAACTGTGCATGCTACTTTTCCAAGTAATCTACACCATTCAAGAGCAGCAACTGGATCGCGTTCGGATAAATCAACAATTTGTGCAGGATTTAATAACTTTCTAAATACTGATAAAATTTCTGCTCCATCTTTATTACCAGATTTTTTGTTTGCTAAAATAGAAGTTCCATAAATTGTACTACAATTATTAAGAAAATTGGTTTAGACATGCAATGTGTTATAATATTATTGTAATATTTGTATTACATTAACTAATCACTTACCAACAACTATGAGAGGTTTCCAACGAGGCCAATCTGGTGGTATAATTGAACGAAGCTGTAACCTTCGTCTTACAGTACTACATTGATTTACAACTTCTAAACTGCTTGGTGGAATTATCATTAATTTAAATTGGCCAAAATCGCATCTCTGTAAAAAAAATTAAGAAATCAACTTTATATATTAACCTAACCCATGTAAAATATGTAAAATATACTTTAGATAGTATAGGTTTACAAGCTTCATGAACACATCTTTGACACCAGCAGCACCACCAATCTATTAATCCAGGTTCTGAATCACATTCTTCGTCACAAATATCACATACAGCAGTCAGAGGTAAATTACCTTAAATAAAATAAAAAATTAGAAAACATTTAAAATATAAAACAAATCTTTCAAAACCAAGTGGAACATACCTTTTATCCAATGATGCCTCATTGGTTTCTCTGTATTTAAGCTAATAACTTTACATTTCAACTGTTTATCTGCAGTTTTTACACATGCAGGATCCGCACAAATACCGCAAGAATCACACATTAATCCATCAGTGTTTAATAACAAACTTTCGCAAATGTTACAGTAATATGCCTACAGAAAAAATTATTCAATTACAATGATACCATTAAACAATCATTTTTAGCGTGGATGTACCATATCACAACGTATATTCAAGATAAATTGATAACCTTTAAGCGCCAATTTTAAAAGAAGATAATGATTAATTTAATAATATGAAATAATAAGAATAATAATAAGAAATGAAAATATTAGAAAATATATAAATATACCTTCTTTGCCCTTGTAATAGGTTTCCAATTGTGCTCTTTAGTAACATCTCTAATATGAATATAAGGCTTTCCTATAAGGTATCGGAAGAAATTTAGTGTAAATAAGAAAATAATCATGGTAGACAATGTAGGCAAAACAATTGTAGTCAATCCGTCCTCTAACATCTTATGAAACAAATTTTGTTCCTTCCAAAAAATGATGATAATTCTCTGTAATAAAATGGTTCAACATCTTATACATATTAGTATACAAAAAAATGTAAATTTAATTTAGATCACAGAATTTTCTTAATCATCGTACAAATTACATAATAAGTGTAGGAATCTCTTTCAATCTTAAGATGAGAATAACCAAAACATGACGAAATACATTTCAAATATTCGAAACTTAAATATAATTTCTATATACTCTACAATTTCATGACAACTGACATATCTCGAGAAATAAAGATATCTTTATTTGTTGGAATAAAATTCATCAATGACAAAATAACTTACTTCTCTTTATGAAATCGTAGAGTAAAAAAATAATGAATAAACATCGTTTACCTCGTTTAAGCCATTTGAATCTCATTCACCATCTATCGCATTCTAAATTTCTAATCGACACTGATTTGAAGTAGGTACACTTCAGATGTTGATTTCCATGTACTGCCAACTAGCTAGAGGATTTCAAGTCAAATAAATACGAAGTTAGTTTACAATTCTGATTGGTTAACATGCCTTCCTAAAATTCTAATCATGCACCAATTTATAGTCTGTTCCATAAATAGTGAAATTAAATGTAAATAAAGATCATCACATAACGAAAATTTCATTGGTAATAAAAGTAACACTGAATTTATTTGTATTATTTTATATGATACATTGTACATCTATCCTGCGATTTACACAGATTTCAAAACAATAGGTTTTCAAAAAAATCTCCTTTTTCGTATACAAAAACAGCAACATAAAACTTTTTAATCAGTATATCTATATAGATTATATACTATATGTCCCATATTCCAATAATGAGTAAATGATTTTGAGGTTAGGAGTTTTCTAATGCATTTCAAGTTCGAATCGACTTGAATACTGTGCGAATAGAAACGTTTGAAATAAGTGAAAGTATTTATTCGAACGCAAAGTAGTTATTAAATATTATAATGGCTGGTATTGTAAAATCCATAATGGAGATTTATTACGACCCTTTCAAATGGTATATTTAATATTAAATTAGTATTAATACGGTATTAATACCACATTCATGTTTGTAACCTATCGATTAAATTCTAGAAAGTACTAATTTCGTAATGAAACATTTGCCTTAACAATTCAGATAGTTGTCTTTATGAAATATTCATTAGAATAAAATTTGTCAATGTAATTTTCACTCATAATTTTGTAATTATAGGTCAGTAGTAAAGAGCATTGGATTCTTCGCATTAGGCGTGAAGATTGCTCTTGAATGCAAAGGAATGACTCTAATGCCACCGAGTGCTGTTTAAAAATGGAAATACAATACTCATTAATGCATTTTTATTATTTTTATTTTACAAATACTTAAAAAAAAATTTGAAAAATGTTTTTTTTACTTACATATCTTTCAAGGTACTGAATTTTTTTTCATTGAATATTTATACATCAACTAACAGAAATATGAATGAAACAAATGTTTTGAATAGATAAAACATTACAAACAGTTACATATGCATGTAAATATTTTATGTATCTTTATTAAGATGAATAGATTGTATAAAATATGTCATTAAATATATTTTCTTTTGTGAATCACGACATTGTTAAATTTTTCTTTAAAGATTAAAAATTGATATTAAAATGTTAATTTCCCTCCCAAAAGAAAAACAATAAATCAGTTATTAAATAAAAAAGTTTAGATAAAAGATAATTTTATAAATTTGTCTACAAGCTTATCTTTTGTTTTATTAACGAAAAATTACCATAATATGTTTTGTGGTTATGTTTATTAGTATTTAACCTCTATTACAGAATTACAATATGTATAAAAGAAACATGTAATTAAATTTACATTTCTCCTGTTATAATTATTGTAAAAAAGTACATGATTTTTACAGTTTCTTGATAATTATGACTGTTATCGATGATCGCACTATTATTTCCTACTAATATCGCTACAGTAGTACATAATCTTTTATTATAATTATATAGTATGAGTGTAACATATTTTTTTTGTTTTGATAGTGTATATAGAGTTATATGGAAATACTTATTAATTAAACGAATATTTATTTGAATTTTCTTTACTATACCGTTACAGTGACAAACAATTGTTATCACGTAGAAAATATTTGTATATTATTTACATAATTGTACTTCTTTCTTGAAGAGAATCTATTAGTTCAAGAGGATTATTAATGACAGATATATAGAGATTTCATATTGGACAAATAAAAAAGAAACTAACATCTGATGAAATTCTTCTTTAAATGAAAGTTCTACATATCCCCTTGAATGCTAAACTTCAATTCACTTATGTTGTTCTGATGAGTGATCAGCTCGATTGACAAAAGTAGATACGGTAAATCGATTAAATAACTTCGAAGCACAATACGAAGTTACATTGAAGATCATGTAATACATCGTATCAAAAATATTTGTATGCTACACTGATTGCTCTTCTTCAGGTAAGTCTAAAATTTCTCCAACAAATTCAGCAACATTTGTATCTTTCTTAGCATGTTCTGTAATAAAATTAAGCTCCAACAATTGATTATAATTTGGACGGCCAGTGTAATCTTTCATTAAACTGAAAAAATAACAATCAATGAAACTACATGTATTAAGTAGACGATTGTGTTAGATATAATGTTACTCACCATTTTGTGATAAATTCTTCAAAATTCGCGGAAAATCTACCAGCAGGTAATTTTGGTGCCTCATCCTTTACAACTTGTTTCAGTTGCTCGAATGGTGTGCCCCAGGACTCGTAAGGAAACTTTCCTGTTGCTAGTTCCACAAGAGATATACCTAAGGACCAAACATCAGATCTGATGTCATATTGTGAAGGGTTACCCGACGGGTCTATCCTTTCTGGCTAAAACAAAGGTTACAATGGAGAATTTATTGAATAGATAAGAACAGATGCTTACACGTGACATACATTTAAAAATTACGTACAGCCATATATGGTTTACAACCAGCATCAATTGTTTTAGCAACAGAATCTACGAGGTAACCAGAAATACCGAAATCACAAATCTTTACTTCTCCTTTACGATTAATTAAAATATTACTAGGTTTTACATCCCTATGAATCACTCGTAATTGTGAATACAAGTAATGTAACGCACTAACTACCTGTAAACATTAGATACAATCAAAATTGTGGCTAAGTAAACATTAAAATTTTTACATTAGTTACTCAATTATGTCTTACTGCAAAAGCAATTTTTCCTAAGATATCTTCAGGAATGGCACGATCGTGCTTGTATACTTTCGTATAAAATTTGTCAAGACTCATATCCATTACTTCCATGCATATCCAAACATCTCCTTCCCTAAATAATGCTCCATAAAACTGTACTGTGTATTGACATGCAGAACTACGCATGGAAATATCTAAATCCATAAGCAATCGTTTTTGTTCTTGTGTATTGACAGTTGCAGTTATTCTCTATAAAATAAATAGAATATATTAAAAGTGTCATTTTTACTCATAACTTAATGCATTTATATAAAATACCTTAACTGCCATAATGGTTCCACTTTGTTTATGTCGCATTTTATCCACAATGCCATATGCTCCACGTCCAAGGACACAAATAGTTTCTAAATCATCTGCTTCCACTACAAATGTCTTCTCACCTATTGTTATTGTAGTTCTTTTATCCAAATTTCTTGGTGGAGTGCTACATATAAAATTTAGCTGAATTTCATATTATATAAAACTCTAAATTTATTACAACAAATAATTATAATATTTAAATAATAGATACATTATACATTCTTAAAAATCATTATCAATTATCAATCAAGATCAATAACAAGGGTGAACATTGATGTAAGCATCAAGTATAACACATTCTAAACAACATAATACTGCGGTAAAAATACTTACACAGGAACAGGAGTTCCTTCGGAAACCTGCAGTTTCAAGTTTCTTTTCCCTCGACGCAGAGCCATGATTCAATATACAAATAATAAATGTTGCTAAGCCTGCGAGCCTGGCAGTGCATACAGTTGAATATAATGCATGTTTAAATAAATTGTAATAAATACTGCATAATTGTTCTGTAAAGAAATAAAATTATATATGTCCTATGTGTTAGGGGAAAGTTTGGAAAGAAGATCGAAAATTGAAGGTTATGCTATGAATTCTTGTAAAGAAATACACGAAAATGAACGAGTAGAATAAAATTTTAATGAAAATTATTCTCATTATAATATCAATGGAAATATATTCGTATAATACCTTGTTAATAACATGACGATACCTTACGAAAATAATGATAAAACTTCAATGCTCCGTTGCCCATATATGAAGTTTTCAGTAAACTCAAACAGTCGCTTGAAATTGCCCACAACAGCTACTACGGTTTTAAATTCAATCTCATTCAATCTGGTCCCTCTACAAACTAAATCGTTCTAGGCGAATTATATAAATTTTGATCAAAGAAACGTGCAATTAAATCGTATAAAAATTTGTGTGAGTATTAAGTAACGATATGCAGCTAACATAAACCGTTTTCTGATACAGATATAAGACAATCAAAGGTATATACTAGTATATACGCTCGATACATCAAGTTCCTTCACGTCATAATAATACAAACACAAGTTTATTTGAACTATTTGTAATTATACAAAATTAAAAATTTTAACATAAAATTAAAAATAGAGGCTAAAAGAGTTGAAGAATGTTGTTCTATATTCATAGAAACCGAAATCCAAAAATGTGGACGCACAGTGTAGTTTTGCAAAGGCAAAACTCTTGTTGAAACATTTAATTTTCGTATATTTGAATTTTTAGATTAAGGCAGACTCTAATCAATGTATGAGTACTCTGTAGAAATAATTTATACAAGAATGTAAAAAGTAATGTCAAACCCTTTTGAAGGTTTAAATTATTTACAATGAAATAAATAGTTATCTAGAGGGGAACACTTCAATCTAAAAACATAAATTGTTGTTTTTATCTAGCGTCAAAAATAGAAACTATTTCATTACAAACTTGAGTGTTTTGCCATAGAGAGCGTTGCACAGAGGTTTAGAAATAATTAGTACAATTGCAACACTATGTTCAACTAAGCTTTTGAGGCTTACTTAACCTAAAACGAATCAAAACAATTTCAATCGTCTAGAAGAATTTGTTGTATTCTAGAATAATTAACTATTAATATTTGTATCAACGATTAATTCCATATTACTACAAGCATACGGTAAAGATTGATTATGTTTATTTATTACAAGACAATTATTAATCCTTTACGTTCGAGTGGTGACGAAGCTTAATCTTCTCTTTTATTTAGGATAGTCTCCAAAAAAAAAAATAATAAACACTTTTAAATATGTATTCCAAACTGGGAAAATATGTAGAACTCGCAAAAGTAAGCAGTAATTATGCCAAACGTATGAATCGTTTAAGTAATCGAATTTTTGGCGAAGTAACAAGGCCGACTAACCAAAAGTCCATGAAGGTTGTAAAGCTATTTAGTGACCTACCGGTACAGAAAAATCCTGACATTGTCCGATACTATCCACGACATATTGAAATTGATTTACTCATGAATCACCTTAGGAATTACGGTCTATTTAGAGATGAACACAAAGATTTTAAAGAAGATTATGAACGCGAAAGAGAACTACGTGGCAAAAAGAAATGGGTTCCACCAATGTTTAGAAAGTAATAAATGTATATAATGTGTTTGAAGTAAACTCATTACATTTTATCATGTATTTGATGTAATATAAGTTATATATAATATACTTGTATATTCAAAGATGAAGTGTTACATGTCAATAATAGCACCAAAACAGTACCAAAATACATAACAAAAGGCATAAATTTATAGAGTATATAGTGATAACACTAGAATAAGGAGCTGTTATATCTTCGAAATTAAAGGGTAACAAAAGTTCAAAACCATTTAGTTCTGTTATATCTTTGTTGGGTTCGGCTGTAGTTCCATCAAAATTTTTATTATTGCATAATAATGATTTATTTCGATAGTCGAGTTGTTTGTTATTGATCAAACTATCTATAATATAATTCTGATTATCTAAACTGTTAGTTTTACCAACCTCTTCGTACCTATAAATATCATTACTTGATTGCTTTAACATATTTGAATAAGGAATGTCTCGATATCCATGAGGATTGGATCCAGTTGTCTCATTAAAATTGTTTAAAACAGGTGGATACAATCTATTCAAAAAATTGAACTTGTTTGTGCTTTCTCTAGATGTTTCTTGATGTACCATTGCTACTGCAGATATATTTTGTAACAACATTCTTGTATCCTCTGACCAGTAGTTTATTTGTAGAAGATCTGTGCCATTCTGTGAGCTTTCAGACATATTGATGTTTTTTCTAGATTTATTATCTTCTTCATTTGATTTTTTAGTAGCTTCCCCATCTTTTGTTTCCTCATTATCATTTATTAAGCTATGTATCCACATCCTTCAATTAAATATTTAAATTGAATTATGAATACAAAAAAAACTTATTAATATAAAATTCTTAATACCTAAATTCACCAAGATCAAGATATGTCGGAAGATTTCCACATTCTAAAGAAAAATTTGTCCAGGATGCAATTCCAAGTACAGCTATTTCGTGATATTGGTTTTCACAAATAACTGGAGAACCAGGATTACCAGCACAGGCTTTCATTTCATCCTCAAACTCGACCATTGTACAAAATACATTCGTGTAATTTACATTTGTCTTTATCATGTACGTGCATAATTTCCAGGAATTGAGAAACACTTCGTTGTATTGAATTGGTTTAGCAAAAACTTTTAAAGATGGTGGAACATAACTTTGCCAACCAAATATTAAGCATGATATGTAATTGTTATCGTAACTGACAGGTGTAACATTTGGTAAAATTACTTCAGTATTACACATATCGAATGGTTTGATAAGTTTTAAAAGTGCTATGTTGTGACTTCGATCGGGAAGAACGGAGTAAGCTTCATAGCGAGGATGTATATAAGTAGCTTTTACGGATACCGTCTGTTTAGATTTGGATCCGTTTAACCCAGTGGCAAACAACATAATAGACTATATTAAAATCAAGACATGAATTTTAATATGATTTTCTTAATGTTAAAGATAGAGAATAGCGTACGTTTCTTTTGTCTTGTACACATTGCGCCGCGGTTAAAACCCAGTCCGAGGATAGGAGTACTCCACCGCATGGTGCTATTGTTTGAAATTGTAACAACCATGGAAATTGACCATCCTGTGCTCTTTTACCTCTGAGCAACATACTTTTAGATTCATTTAAAGATATTACCAGTAAGAATAGGATACATACTGACATATTTGCTACAGTAAAACAATAACATTTCAGTCGTTCTATTGATGTGTGACTACTTTCAAGATATGGTTATTACAATCAAATATGAAGCAATTTTAAACAGATGTAAATCATTTATTAAAAATCAATTCAAATGTCATTAATTGGTGGAACGTTTATTATTTACAGACTAGATACAAAGATGTAGATAAATTCATGATGAAGATATGTCATGAGGATGTCTTTACAGTTATAAAAATCTGTTTTCAATGATTCATAATTCTTCTTTTGCATTTTTCTCCTTTTTCGTGTTTCCTTTTTTGTCTTTCTTCCTCTTCTTTTTTTCAGTTGTATCGTTAACATCATCATCTTTATCTTTAAGGCAAGAATCATCTCCTTCTTTTAATGCCCTATCTGAACACAGATACCTAACAGGAAAAAGTTATAGTTAAATTAAATAAAATTAATTTAAGCTTCTCATAGAGTGCAAGTTAAACAGTACCTAATTAAAGGTATTTTTCCTTGATGTTTATGGTACCACTCTTCAATGTCAGATTCATGATTCTCAAGTAAATTTTCACATTGTGTTTTCAAAGTTGTAATTTCAACAGATGGTTTATCCCACAATTCATATGGAATTCCTAACTCAACTTTAACACCTCTGTCCCTATAAATACAGAATGGAACTAATTATTTTCATTACAACAATGACCAAATATTTATTACAAAAATATCATCTTACACAAGTCCATGAAGCGTTTTGAATGTTTGACTCATTCCTTTTGCAAACCTTGAACTATCTGATCTCTCCTTATGAATATTATATTCCAATATTCGTTCACAAAGATTTTCCATACTTTCTACTAAACGTAATTCTCTGAAAATTAAAAATTACTACATAAATTGTTATATTCTACAAAATATATTGTGTACTGCAATTTTTTAAATTTATAATTTACGATTTCTTGTATTCTTTCTTCTTCTTGGGAGCAACATCATCAACAGAATATCCAATTTCCAGTACATCATGTGTCTTTCCAGTTTCATCTAATCTAGCCTCCAATTCTGTGGCCACAACTTTGCATACTATAAAACAAAATAATAGTATAAACCACTGTGCATTATACAAAGTTATGTAAGTATGACATTTTTCAAAAGGGCCTTTAGGATTTTGTTTTTCAACAAAACGCAAATCGTATGGAATATGTTCGATTTCTTATTTTAAACGGAAGTACACGTGGTTACAATTAAAAGTGAAAGATCACGTTTAAATATTCACCACGACTATGTCGACAGCAATATTTCATTATTAAAAAACAAAATTGTAAAAGTTCCTTTTGGAAAACCCTTCACTTATATATCGTGTATATAAAATTACCTTCGCATTTATTTGCATATTTAACGCCTTGTTCTTCTTCTGGACCACCGATGACAAAATAAGCAAGAAGTAAATGCGTTAAAAAAATTCGTATAAAAACGCACATTGTTAGATCACAATTTTAATAATTTCTTTGAGGAACTATATGGTTAAGGAATGAATGAAAGCATTGATACACGTTTACGTATCTACTATCCCACATCTAATCGTATCTACGCTTTTTCTTATCTGTATCATTGCAAACATTTAAAAATTATTCACCTAATATATATGAAAACATTTGCAATATTAATTAGTCTATATACCGATGTTCTTGTATACAAATATTTGGAGTTTATCGAATATAAAATTTGTTCCATGAATTCTATAAAAATCGTGATAAAATCACAGTAAAAAGTTTCATCAATTTATATCTTTCATTTACCGCAATGAATATTAGAAGGAAGGAAGTAAATTAACTTTATTTAATACATGTAAATAATAGAAATTTGTACAAAGGAATTTGTTTGCATGTAGCTGCATTATTGGGGGCATCCACAGAAAGCCGCTGCTCATTGATCCGCTCAGTGAGCGGGTGTTAGTATTAGTGGCGCCACCCGTGGCAAAACGCCCAAGTTTATAGTTAAACTAGTTCCCGCTGTACCCGCTAGATGGCGCCATTAACAAGATGGTGAAAGGTATTGCTGTATGAAATAACTATTCATAAAAATGATGAATTTGTCATATTAATTAATATATTGTAGTGTTATAAAGTAAATAATCGTATTAATTACGAAAAATAAAGCAAAATTAATTAAAAATGTATCGGTGGCGTTATCTAGTGGTAACAGCGAGAACTATTTTCACGACAAACTTGAGCGTTTTGCTACTGATGCCGCCACTAGTATTAAAACTAATATTAGTATAGTTCAGTGATTGGCTGCTATACAGAGCGGGCAACAGAACATAAATTCAAGAAAGAATATGAATATTATAAATAAATTTGTATTGTGTTCTAAAAATATTAACATATCGACAGTTTTCTGGCAGTAGCAACGTTTTTTTTTTGTACAATAACAATATCTTCAGCTGTGGAAATTTGTCCTTTAAAAGCGTTGCGCGGAAGCAGAAGTAAAAACAGTCGTATTTGTTTATAGTAATTAATATATAAATAACCGAATCGTTAACGCAAAAGAATTATCACCATATAACACCACTGTCAATAACTGAATTAGTTTTAAAATTATAATTAATCATAATTATAAAATATAAGAGGACCTCGGTACGGTTGATGTAATAGTTTCGGTGACAAAAGTTTATTTGTACATCCCGTTATCGCTTAAATGAGCAAACATCGCAAAATTCAACGTCTTTTATTTTTTAAACAAAGTTCAAAACAGAAAAATGGTGACTTAAACTCCTCCTAATTTTATGTGGACTACATCGTATTTCAATTATTCTTCATATTTTGTTATAAAAATTAAAAAAACACGTAAATGGTTTACTGACTATTGATAAGGTCTCCCAGCTCTAACTGTTTTGTTGAGTCGAGGAGCATTCATGAGTCGGACAAGTATTCATGCTTCCACATAGGCCAATGTCCTTTTTCAGCTCAACTAAACTGTTGTGCGATGTAAAGTCGTCAATTTGCGCCTAGCCTAATATAAATATACTGAAAAAATAGTGCGTTACAGAGATATATGTTAGTTAAATTAAATTAAATACATGTGTGTTTAACAAAATTTCAAACTGGTCTTATCTGAGAAACCTTTTCCCGAAAAATGTATTGTGGATTTTCGACTTATTCGTGCACCAAAATTTTATCTGATCTGCAGTTGTATCTTGTGTATATAATAATTTGTTTATTTTGATTGTCTGCTCTAAAAACGAAACTTGTAAACAGGCTTACATTTTTCTTTTTGCAGAGAATACGGGTTTAATGAAGTCTATTTTTTCTCAATGAGTTTTAATTCGAAATTAATATTATATTATATATCGTATATTTCTTTTTGTTCGAAAATATTTTCCATACGAATCTTATTGAAGTTTGAATAAAAATTAAAGAGCTATGTAGAGTTTCAAAATTTGTTCAAAAGATTAACATTTCATATTGAAACTACAGTTTTAACTACTTGTAAATCAACTTTGAAATTGAACACTTATTTGAACTTTGTGTAGTAATTACAATAATTTGTACCATTTTAAATCTCTAATTGGTTTACTCGAATTCAAGGATAATTATTTCACTTGTGCTATATAGATTTGAAAAATTTGCTGTATTTATGAAGAAACAGAAACTTCTTCACAATTTACTGCTAATTAAGACAGATTGTTTTGTTAGCGAGAATCATGATACGACGTCGAAAACATACAATTTCTAATAGTGATATTTTGTAACAAGCTATTAGAGACAGTTACTATCGTCAGTATGTCCTTACACTAGACACGTGTTCTGGTTTCTTCAACAATCTCATACATGTAACAGAGCTATAGTGATTCGTAAACTATAAATTCGCAATTAATCCACAGAAATCTTTACAGTTTTCTTATAACTTTTCTATTTAAATAATTACAAAACAATATTTGTTAGTAAAATATTGCTTACCCTCCTAGCCGAATTTACCGTCTCTTATCATTATATTATCACAAACGTTACATTATGAAATTGTTGGATAATGATCCCTATCACCATTTTGTACAATAAGACAACTACTCTGTCGCTGCAAACAGAACGCGAATTTATGAATGATTATGAACGTTTTGTAAAGGTGCAAAACAAAAATGAGGAAACATAATTTTAAGCGTTACAACATTCAGTATGCGATGAACTCATGCTATAACTTATATGTTTCGTCCATTGCTTTGAAACAAAAATTGTGCTTGAGTCAGAAACATCGTTTCATTTATTTTTTACGTAATTTTTGGTTTCAGTTCAGTCTTATTGATAGATACGATACACGTAAAAAGCATACTATCGAAACAGAAGCATTTTAATTAGTTAAATTTTTATTACTGTATCAGTGGGTGTGCAAGCAGCCCTCCATAGCGAAGTTCTAATGTCAGTATAAACAATCAAATTTTATTTCTTCGAATCACTGAAAAATGGAAGGTGCAAGCATCCCATCAAAATGAATATTGCGTTTTGAGGAGATTTTGCCTTTCTATTTGTTTTCTTTCCATACATACATATATTACTTAAATGTTCACGATATACACGACTGCTTTATCAAAAAATTACAATGACAGAATACTTAACTCTAAAAAAAACTGTAACTCGCATCTTGTAATGCATAAGACGACCTATAAATAACATAAGAAAAATACCTTACAAAATAAGACGTTACGGAAAAAATGCTAAAATCGCGGCAGTATAAATATTACCGAAGAACGAACGTTCCATATTAACAGTAAAATATACATTCATTTCTAATACGAAGTAATGATCTCGCATCTAAATGAAAACAATCGATGTTTAAAGTGAATGATAAGCTAACGAAAAAAATGCAGAATTGTTTTGTAATAAAATTGACTTTATCTTTAGAAAGGCAAAGTCTTGTAAAATGCATATATTATATAATGCTCATCGATCGGCGGTAGCGTTTTCGAGTATTACTTATAACAACAGGAACCGATACGGGAGCGGGAGGAGTTACAGGTGTAACAGGAGTTATCGGTGTGAGAGGAGTTAATGGAGTTTCAGCCATTTGGGCTGAAGAGGGGGGCCTGAGCTACCAAATGTAGTTTTCGGTTTGTGGGGCACGCATTACTCCCACACCACCACCAAGTCTTCTATAATTCATACAACCACACAGTTTCCATTGATTTTGTTCCGAATCGTACACTTCGATAGTTTTCAAATAGGCAGTTCCATCGAATCCACCTACAGCGTAAAGTAAACCATTCACTACCGCCAACCCCACCTATAACAATACAATGGAGATACAACTCTATTATCTGTGCTAATTGGAGGAATTAAACGCATGGATAGTCAATTAATGTATAGAAAAAAAGTATAAAAATAATGCAACTTACTCCGCTTCTCCTTGATGTCATAGCAACTATCGGGCTCCAAGAATTGGTATGAGGGTTATACCGTTCCGCACTCGAGAGTTCCATACAGTCGTCTCGTCCTCCGACAGCATAAATTAAATTATTAAATACAGCACAGCCTAGATGTTTACGTCTCGTAGACATAGGGGATATTTGAGACCATTTATTTTGCCTTGGATCGTATCTTTCTACAGTGTTCAAAGGCGATTGTCCATCAGACCCGCCGATGGCATATAAATAACCGCCTAGCACAGCGACAGCAACTCCAAGTCTTCTAGTGGTCATCGGCGATACTTTAGACCATTTATTTTCCTTGGGATCGTACCTGCACAACATAGTGCTTTGCTTTAATTCATTTATTGTGAAACATATAACAATTAGCGCAAGATTGGAATAAAATCGTGGAAACAGCGATTTACCTTTCAACGTGGTTTAAGCATTGGACGCCATCCTGTCCACCTACTGCGTAAAGAAACCCATCCAATACCGCGACACCTACGCTAGTTCTACAGGACGTTGTAGGCGCTACGTCGCAGGACCACTGATTCGTTTGTGGGTCGTATCGTTCGATGCTATTTAAATAGCTTTGTCCGTCGTGACCGCCTACCGCGTATAACAAGTCGTTCAGTACGGCTACTCCGACGCCACATCTTCGTTTACTCATTGGAGCAACCATTTTCCAATCGGCGGTATTAGGATCGAATCTTTCCACGCTAGCAATCGCGTCGCCAGAACACCATCCACCGACGGCAAACAATACTTCACCGCGTCTGGTTGGTTTTCTAGGACGCGTTCTTGGCCCCTGCATCAACGGTCTTTCTTGTGGCAGTAGCAAATAGTTTTTTGCTTCGTCCACCAGATCTCGACACGCGTTATCGGCTCGAACCAAAAGATCGGACCCTACGGTCCCAACTAAAAATTTTGGGCTAAGAAGAGGTAGTCGTACGTGCTGTAGAACTTGCGCCAGATCTTGCCTTCTTTCGGTGACATTGTACTTGACCCAATTCATAACCGCGCTGAACACTTGTTCTTCTGTTCGTACGTTTAATTCGTCGGAAGAAATAATATCTACTAATTGGCCAACGGGTAATAATAGAAATTCTTCGCTTTCCATTACCTGCGTCACGGTACATGCAAACATGATATTATTTAAGATACAATTCAATAATGAACATTGAGAGAACCCAGAAACGTACTTCTTGAAAATTATGTTGCGTGAATTTGTCCGCGATTCGCAGAAGTTCACAGCAAGAATGAGTATCCGCAAACGCTCGTATGCCCAAACAATTGGAAGGGTCGAGTTGACGTTTGAGAAACTCGCAACATATATCTTGAATTTCTACTAGCTGGAGAAGGCACGCTGCTGGAAGGAGAGTTTGAACATTTGCTTCTTCGACAATGATGTGAGAAGTGTAACAGAAGTCTATTAATAATTCCATTGCCATTTCGTCTACGTCCCGAATCGTAACTTCAGTTTGTCGAGATTCCGCCAACTCCCCAGTAAACATTGCTCTGCAGAAATAGATGACGTTGGTTTATATTAAGCTACTACATAATAAAACCATTAATATGCTACTTGAGCATTAATAGGGAAAAGACAACGGTCGACGGGAGTGTAGTTTAAATCAGCGTTTCTCAGACTTCACCTTTGAACAAAAAATTCAAAATTCTCTATATAACGTGAGGAGTGTTTTTGGGAGTGAACTTTATTACGATCGACTCTCGTTCAATCCGCCGAGCGACTGACTGTTCGTCGTCGGCTGTCGACGATGCGAAACTCTCTTACAATGTTTTTAGACAAAAGAGCGACATGCTCGCGCGCGTCCACGAACGCCGACCAGCCATTTTTTACAATAACATGCTCCTTCTTTTCTAAATATATTTAGAAGGCTTCATTAGAGAAATACTGATTTAAACTAAGCTTCTCGAATGTCTGCCTTCTAGTAGCTATTTTTCTGCTCACCTGAAGTACGGGCTACACGCCGAGAGAATAACACGATGTGCGAATATCTTCCTAGAGCCGACATTGAGCACAACATCGCAGAGTTCGCGATGCCGTCGGAGGACGTTGAGTTCCGTGAGCGTAGCACGAGGATGCTTCTCAGATGTATGGCTGAGGCAAGCTGGGGAAGGCGCGCGTTCCACGACCATTTCACCCATCCTCTGCGAGGATGGGGCGCCCGCGGTCGCTCTCCCCGAGGCGCCCCTCGACCCCCCTAGCTGGAGGCGCAGCGGGGGTGACGCCCAACCCCACACCGAGTCTATCTGCAACACCATTCACCAACCACCTCGGTTCTTGAACGTGCTCGCACTAGGCCCCCTAATCTTCTCCAATTTCTGCAATTAAAATAAAATTTTTGTATCTACTTGGAATCTATGTCATCTTCCTTATACTGTTCTTTTCATGTGAAACACTTCCATAATATTTTTTTTTGCTGCTTACTTCTTCAAAATTGTGTACATATTCGCTGCTACTAACGCATACCTTGCATTCAAATTAATGTAAATGGAATCTGTTATGTGGTATTGTAATCAATCAAGTTAAATATTAAAGCACTGGTTAACAAATTGCTTTCTCTTTATGGTTGTTTTATTGTACTGGGTTGATATTAAGATTTGTCTTGTAGTGCATTTTATCTAAAGTCATGGACCAATAGATCATGGAACATAGCAATGACTATGGGTACAGCAATGGGTTTGTAGTATTATATGCTAAATATTATTACAATTATAACATGTGTATGCAGTCTCCTCGTGACATTAAATGCTCACTGATGATGGCACAGATCATGAGCTGCATGAATTTAGTTGCTCATGTCTGATCTAAAGTCTTCATATCAGACTACTTTTAATTTATAGGTTTGTCTAAGGTAAGATCCGTTAAAAGGATTTTATCAAACAGATCCAGGGTGTAACACAGTTATGAAATAAAGTGATAGTCCGCTTTCTTTGCTAAATTATATATATAGGATACTGTGCATTAATAATTTTATTCTGCATACAGTAATGAGCTTATAACAAAATTAAGAAATATAAGATAAAATATTTTAAATGATACAATTTTGGCAATTCTTTTCTGTAACAATCATTTTAAAAGTAGTACTATAAGAGAAGGAGCTTATATGGAGAAGAAATGTAAGCGAAAGAAATTTTTGTGCAGAAAATGGTTGATATTAGTATAATTTCTGTAAAAACAAACAGAAAGGTTACGAGAATAAAATAAACTTCAAAATGACATATGTTTCTAAATACTCTATAAGTAACATGATTTCTGTTAAATGTATTCAGTAAGTAACATTCACTTTTGCATTCTATAGTGTGAAAGTATTCTGAAAGAATTGTAGAATTCCTACCCATAAGTGGGGTACAAACAATATTGACACTTACTGTGCGATGAATATGAGGATTCACGATGTATGATTAACAAAAGCGATTGAACTTTTGCACAGTGTGGGTAGTTTATCAATTAGCGAGCAATAAACAAAGGTCTATTATGCTTTTCAGTTTCGTTTTTCTCGGATACGATTGGAATCACAGCATGATGTCACATGCCGAATAATGTTGTGCTTCACAGCTGAGCCACGTTTAAAATGCAAAGCAGTCGATTTTCCTCGAAAATATCACGATGGTACTTTCATTTTGAGATCTTTTTCTGATGCGAAATGCACCAATTCCCGATTCGTTCGTTTCTCAACCAAATCCCCAGGGCTACGCTCGCGTTGTGCCAATTGTGTCAATCCACCTTTGCTTTCCGTTCACAACCACTAGATGGAAACAATGTTCTCACGAAACTGTCACGTATTATCTTATCAACAGAAGGTATCTTATCAACAGAATGTTTTCATTGATTTTATTGATTACAGAAACAGTGGGAACTACTTTCATTACAAATTTCTAGTGTTATAAAGCAAAAAATCGTATTAATTATGAAAAATAAGAAATAATTGATTAATATATATTGGTGGCGCTACCTTATAGAATTAGTGGGAACTATTTTCACTACAAACTTGGGTATTTTCCCACCGATGGCGCCACCGATACTTTCAATCAGTTACACTTTATTTTTCAACAAATGCTTAATTATTATAATTGTTTGATGTATAACACTTCTTAATATGTCCAATTTATCATTTTTATGAATAGTTATTTAATTCACCAATAATTATCGAACCTTTAGTTAATGGCGCCATCTAGTCATAAGACTCGGAACTATTCGAGGACAAGCTTGGGCGTTTTCCCGGTGGTGCGCTGATCGGAGGTCGGGATTTTAGTTCGATCTATTCACCGCGAGATGGCTCCACTATAGGACGCGCGTAATTTGAATCCTTTTTATATGTTTATATATATATACCGTTTGATTTCTTTTTCCTTTTCTTTTTAATTAATTAAGGAGGCTCTACAGTTACGTTATAAGTCAATATAGAGTTACTATTCTCGCTTGATTCACGTAGTAGTAGATCTGGCATAGTATTTAGAATATTAGAATTATGTTAAACATTGATTTTTAGTCGTTACTATATCTATTATATTTATATTGTATCATAAAGTAATATAAATCAATTATTTTTAGACAAACTACAGTACTGTTTGTATTTGAACGCGCGTTTTTTAACCTCTCGCACAGCCTGCCAGATGTCTCATACTATGTCAATAGCAGAAGACAAAACGCATTATCCTAGTATTCTTTAATTTATTATTAAGACTACAACTACCCTCGGAGTATTTTGTAAATTAATATATGTTCTTTAGATATTTTTCTATTATGCATAAAATTTTCGATCCAATCTCGGCGTCAATTACTTTGTAGCACGTAATTGAGTGTGTTGAAAACGCATTTTCCCATAAGAGTCCATGTTAAAAAGTGAAAAATTGAAACATGTATTTCTTAGCTTTTAGGTACCCTAGTCTTCCCAAAATTTGCGTGGGTGTTTTTGGGATAAAATCTAAGCCGTATACAAATTTTTATAATTTTCTTGGCGTTATTTTTATTTGCACTAGAGCCTCCTTAAATTTTTCTATTATTCATCTGTTTCCTTCGGGATGTTTCTTAACGGGATGTTTCTTCTTGAACGCGTGGGGCACTACTTTGAAGTTCCGTGATTGAGCGCGTATAACGGCGAAGGACATGCTATGAAATCAACTGCGAAATCGTCAGTTGATTTCGAATAAAACAATTGTCTTTAACTGTACTATTGGTTTTCTAAAAAATTTTCAAGTTATGTCAGAACGACAAATAAATTTTCTTGTTATATTAGTGACAGTTTGGTTGATGCACGAAACGGCCAGAATTGTAAATGGCATGAAGTGAAATCTTTTATGTCGATCAAATTTTAAAATACATAAGATTGAACGTTGTTAGAAACGAAGGAAGGATGATTGCGCTAACACAGACAAAATAAAGCCAAACAATATAATAACCTATAATTGTCGTAACATTAAAATTTTACATAAAACGTGTAAACAGGATACGTGTGCCGTTGATTTCAATTTGTGTAACAGTCGAGAAAAATATGGTATGACAAACATAACGATATTATATTTCTCCTCGAAATTTCAGAAAGATTCTTTCTTGAAATTAAAACCAAATTGATCGCATTTGAGACGTAAGACTTTCGCCAATTGCGGGGGCCCGCAATAGAATACTGTCACTTTACCCTTTTTCTTGTCTTGGATCTGCTTGAAAACCTTGTCCCAGTTTGGTCGACCAGCGTTTGTCCTTGTTTTTAAACCAGTTATAAGATCTCGTTTCTCCTAAAAAATTATAATTAATCAATCTCTTTATAATGAATATAAAACAACATTTTTCGAAGTCTTTATATAAACGTAGATTTCTCTCGAGTCTCGTTTTATCGCGATATCATTTTAGCTAATGAATTCTGCTGTATTTAAATTCAAATTAAACTGATCTAACACAGTTGGACAATTAAAGAAAAAAAAAAGATATTAAAACTTCTTGCGTGTAATCCCGAACCGTTTGATGAACTAAATCCATAGCTAGTTGCAGACCAACAGCCTTCATGTCATTTTTCTGTAGAGCACTGGTAATATACATATGCATCTCAAGAAAATGTTCCATGGCATCACCGAGTTCTGCTTGCTCCATTTCCAACTGAGACAGCAAGTTTACGAACCATTCGAAGGATCTCTGATCTCTGTTTATCCAGAAAAAGTCTACCTACAACCAAAATGATTTTATTGCATTCGAGTATGTGTTATATCTAAATGAAAAGAATCAACAGAATATGTAGTAAGTTAATTCTACTTAAATTCTACTGCAATTCTCTCCCTACGAAGAGCAAAGTGCACTTGCACAAATACAGGGTGCGGCAGAAATAACTCCTAAATTTTAAAAAACGATTGAAAAAAGTGGTAGGAGATGCCACCAGAAACTTTTTATTTCTTAAAACTAGATATAAAAAAGTTTTTTTTACTTTAAGTTTTAAAAATTATGTCGTCCAAATGGTGGCAAGAAAAAAGTCACATGGACTTAAATCCTCGGAAACTAGAGCTGTTCGAGTACTCGGAAAAGGCGTGTAAAACTCGGCTCGAATGACCGGTCCGAGTCGAGTACTCGGAAGAAATGAGCAGCTCGAAAGAACCGAGTAACTCGGACCGAAGTGACCGCCTCGAAGGAGGCGGATTCACGTTGCCGAAACGATGTTTCGAGCTGCTCGTTTCTTCCGAGTACTCGACTTGGATCGAAAACTGGGTCTCAGCTCGACTCGGCTCGCGAGCAACTCGAAACATCCGAGTTTTCTGCAGGCCAACCGGAAACACCATCTGCAAAATTTCGCACTGACGACGCCCTGTATGAACCGTAGCTCGGCGGATTTAAGTCTATGTGACTTTTTTCTGCGGGGATACCTCAAGGCCGAGGTTATCAAACATCGTCCTTGATCCTTGAATTACAAAAGACCATCCAAGAGGAAATTGAATGAATTTCCTCCGAAATGCTAGCGAGAGTGATGGAAAACTTTCAAGAACGACTCCAAATGTGTATCGTCCGTAAAGGCCACCATTTGGACGATATAATTTTTAAAACATAAAATAAAAAAAACCTTTTTATATCTAGATTTAAGGCGTCTGGCCGCCTTGAGCGTTTGTCAGATGGGTACTATTTCATTTAGATGGGTACTTAAAAAATTCATAAATGCGAAAGTATAGAAAAAAATATTTTTATGTTTTGAGACATACTAAAGAACGGTTTAATAAATTATGAAAAATTTTTTGAGATAACAAAAAAAAAACATGGCGGCGGTTTGAAAATTTTGGTGAAGGCCTTCGGCACGAAACGCGCGCGGGCTGTCCCATCATTATATTCTTTAGGTTGCATGTGAAAAAGAAAAAAAAATATTAGATTGTTTCTGGAGTTTGTCGCAAGAGAGTAGCAATTGGATTTTTTTTTTTTACCATTAAGAAAATTATGGTGAGCCGAAGAAATTTCTTTTTTATTTTTCACCGAAATTTCACGAGAAAAATCGTCAATAAAAAAAAAACTAATCAAGTAATCGCAAAAATCCATTGCTACTCTTCAGATAATGTATCTAAAAGTAGTGTGTACAAATTTCAGAGCAATCGGACCGACAGTTTACGAGAGATTTACGTTGCACCATTTCGAAAAATGTAGTTTCGAGATAATCCCAAAAGAAAGTAAACGTACTTTTAGATACATTATCTGAAGAATAGCAATGGATTTTTGCGATTACTTGATTGATTTCTTAATTAATTTTTTTTAAGAATAGTACCCATCCGGCGAGCGCTCAGGGTGGCCAGGTGCCTTAAGAAATAAAAAGTATCTGGTGTTATCTCGTACCATTTCTTTTCAATCGTTTTTTAAAATGTGGGAGTTATTTCTGCCGCGCCTTGTATGTACAATATAGCAAATATAGCAAAGAAATGATATTTGCCTTCCTTAGATGCATGACAGTGGATGGGATCTCGCTAGCCCATGAGAATTCGCATTTTGGGCAGGTGTGCCTTGCCTTCCAATAACGGTGCATGATGGATTGCAGTATCGAAGCAAAAGGCGTAACTCCGATTCCGGTCGCGATTAGAACTGCGTGGTGTGCTTGGAATATATGACTCGAGGGAGCTCCGTATGGCCCATTCAAGAAAATCTGTAGGAAAATCAATTTTCAGCTTTTTCATGGATCGAAATTATTTTCGAATAATTTAAAATTAAAAATTATAAGCTCGTACAAAGTTATTTTAGCATTCTATTACTGTAGGAGAACTTTGTGAGCAATGGTCGATGTCGAAGTGGGAGTATAGTAATGAGTAGACTGTGGATCTTTATGCACAATAAAATCTTCGGGGACGTAGTTACAAAAATTCAACCTAAATAGAAGTTTATTTTATTCCGCAAATATTATAACATGAACTTTACTTTCAATCTTTTTTATAGTCATGCATTGTGCTTGTATTTTGTAGTTCCTTGCACATTCAAATTTCCTATAAATGCATAAAGATCCGCAGTCTAGTAATGAAGAACCTTTTATAAGAATTTTGTTCGCATTTCATTGAAATGGATTTTTTAATATCTTACTACACTACCGTTAACTCATTTGTATAAAAAAGTAGACTTATTCCATTTTCAAATATAACAGCTCATATCTTGAATATGTAAATGAATGTCTTCATATTTCTCGAAATTAATCTATAAAATTTCCAATTAATATTTAACTCCAGGCTTTAAAATCCCATGATTCGGTCCTAAAAGCTCTTCGATGCAAATCACTAAAGTCACTTGTACCTTTAATGGTTTTCCAACAGCATAATTGATGGGTGGGCGGGAAAGAACGTCAAGACCGTTATCGTTCCTGTTTTCCTTTGACGTTTCTTCCAATTTCGACCGCGTTTTGTCTCCTTCTTCAGTGATTTGTATCGCGACTACACTGGGCGACATACTTCTGCGATCGTTTACGCTTGTTCGCGAGACAGCTGTTACACCAAACATTCGGTCAACTTAATTTTATTATAGGGGTCAGCAAAAATCTACCACCGGTAATTTCCTAGATAAAATGTTAAAAATGCCTGGAACAGCCACTTACTTTCTCTGCGTGTTTTTGCTTCACAGTCCCAGTTCTCTAAGCTCGGTGTCTTGAAAGCAATCAAGGTAGGTTTGGTTCTCAAGTATCGAAAATTTTCTGCCAATTTCTTATGCTGTGGACTCGAGTAAGCCTTTTCCAAAGACTTCAGACGCGCACTGCGCATTTGGTACTCGTCGAAGTTTCTCTCCGATTCGGATCTCATATAATCTCGAAGTCTAGCAAAGAGTGAGAATAATGACGTTAGTATGCACTAGTAAACTTAATAGATCGCGCTACATGCGATGCATTGAATAGAAAGTTTCATAAAAACGCAGGAAATAATTTTAATTGTGCAGGTGTTTAGGATGTAGATAGCTTACGCAAGGAGTCTTTCCTTCTTCTTCTTTCTCGTTTGTATATCAGGTACTGAGATGGACTTCTCCAGCCGTATTTTGCTACCCAGCAGCAGGCTATGCAGTTTTCGGTCCTTTGGAACTTTATTATTATCCCCCACGCCTGTGTTAGTTATTGCAACGAATTGTACTTATGCGAATTGATAAGATAAATACTGAAGAAATTGATCGAGACTCAGTAATATTTTCTAACAAGTCTTTGATAAAATTTCAGAATTTTAGTTTGCTCTAAAATTCATGGGTTTGGAAAATAAATTCTCCAAAGAACTTATTAAATTTAAATGTAGATGAATTAATTAAAAATTATTCCTTTATTCTCAACATTCATGTTATTAATAAATATTAAATTCATCTAAAAGTGTATTCAATTTAAGTAAAAATTAGCTAACTTGCTAAGATTATTAGTTTACTTCCAAAATTAAAGGTTTTAACGATTCATTAAATCCAAATAGAAATTAATAAATTGATTAAATTAATTTAAATAACGTAATTGATTAAATAGTGTGACGTTAATTGTTCAACTTACCGTTTATATTTTGCGTCGATGATACTATGTTGTCATTATCAGGAATAAAGGTAGGATTATCAAGACCGCAATTGTCTGTTTCCGAAGACGACGAAGACATTATCGAAGTAACTGTTAAATCCTGATTTTTATTAAGGAATCTAAATCGAATAAAAGCATCGAACAATTCAAGAATAATAGGCTCTTTGTCATTAGAACGTAGAATAAACGAAGACATGGAACTTACGACATTTTCCCAGGACTAATTATGTCAGTTGACTCTGCGATTGGATACGCATTGCCTTCATGAAGTTTCATTTGTTCCTTCTCGAAATAGGAATAAAGTCTGTTGGTCCACTCCCCAACTGCGCGAATGTGAAGCCATATGTAGTCTGCGAAACATATTTTCCAATATTTATCTAATTAAATCGTAAAGCCAGTGTTTCAATGTTTATTATGAAACAATTGTCAATGAAAAAAATATAAGTAAGTAGTTTCAGCATTGCTTAAGGCGTCTGGCCACCCTGAGCGCTCGCCAGATGGGTACTATTCTTAAAAAAAAAATTAATTAAAAAATTAATCAAGTAATCGCAAAAATCCATTGCTATTCTTCAGATAATGTATCTAAAACACAAATTTCAGAGCAATCGGACCGCACGTTTACTTTCTTTTGGGATTATCTCGAAACTACATTTTTCGAAATGGTACAACGTAAATCTCGTAAACTATCGGTCCGATTGCTCTGAAATTTGTACACACTACTTTTAGTGTGTACTGTAAAAAAAATTTCTTCGTCTCACAATAATTTTCTTAATGGTAAAAAAAAAAAAAATTCAATTGCTACTCTCTAGCGACAAACTCCAGAAACAAACTAATATTTTTTTTCTTTTCCGGATGGAACCTAAAGAATATAACTATGGTACAGCCCACGCGCGTTTCGTGCCGAAGGCCTTCACAAAAATTTTCGAACCGCAGTCATTTTTTTTTTGTTATCACAAAAAAATTTTCATGTGTTCATTAAACCGTTCTTTAGTATGTGTCAAAACATAAAAATATTTCTTTCTATACTTTCGCATTTATGAATTTTTTAAGAATAGTAGACGCCTTAATGCTATGGGAAAGCCTTGTTTCGATATTCCTTAACGTTTCAAAAAAAAAAAAAAATTCTAGAAAATCGGCTATATTCCAGTTGTTCAAAACACCCCCTTAAAATTCAAGAATATGCATTCAAGAAAAAATCGATTCTTTTTACCAGAAAAGAAACGCCTCCTCAAAGTTTTATCGAAACTAGTATGTGACGTGAGGTATTTGAATGTTAGAGTAGACGATTTGTCGAACCTTCCTGTTCTGGGGCGCTGCTGATGGTGAAAGGGTGCCATTCATAGCGAGCAATAGCGGGAACGTTGACGAAAACATAGTCACCAGGACGAAAATCAAAATGAACAGGTCGTTTGATGACCAAATGCGTCACTTTCGAGGGCAGCAAGAGGCCAGAGCTGATGTAAGTTTTTCCAAGCTGTGAACGGGACCAGGCGATTCGCCTAATTCTCTCAGCAAGATATATCGCACCTGGCGCTATAAACCATTTCCAAAAATTCGGCCCGTGAAGTATCGTCAATATCCAGAATGGTATGTACAGCAAGTGTGACCAGTAAAATATCTGGAAAATAATAAATCAAATTATTGAAATCCAGATTCAAAGAATTCCACGCTTGGTTTTTGTAAAAAAACAACAAAAAGGAACATTAAGCTTTGCGCACTAAGCGCCTTTAAATAAAAAAAAAATCGGATTAACTTATTCATATTTAAAATTAGCTTGTTTGTTATTTTCCCATCACCTATATCATCTGTATTATTATACCGTTGTTATGCTATTTCTTTTTCTCGTGCTTGACAGAGGAATATGCTAATTAGACAGTTTGTTTACAGAAACAAATAATGAATTAAAGCTTGTAACCTCGAAGCATCCGCCACGGCGAACAAAAGGCATCGAGCATATCGTCATTATAGCAAGGATGAGGACAAGGATGAATCCCGTTGGGTTCGCCCAACCTTTTACAAGACCGAACAGACCTGGACGATCCGTGAACAGCCATTCATATATAGTGTACTTGTTGGAATTTAATATGGGGTCGTATACCACGACTGTGCCTGAAAAAATATTCAACTGTTTTAGAAAATTTAAAAAAATATTATTTCGTCCGTAACCCTTTTACACCAGAATTTTAGACCTGATTTTTTTTATCTTTTCATTAACCGACTCTATAATTAAACACAATTTTAGAAACTTGAGTGGTCTTAATTCAACATAAAATAATTTACAAGAAATAATTAGGTGACATTTATTTTTCCTTGTAAACTCAATTTTTGTTCTATCGTGTAATTTTTTAAAGCAGCTTTGGACAAATTTGTTATGTATTAAAAAGGGTCATTGTATAGGCTCATAAAAGTATACGACACACGTGTACACGTTTATTAATAATTTAACGTTTTATGCTCAACTTTCACAGAAATGGGTTTCAAGCCGTTCATTTCAAATACCTCGGCGTCTACGCCTTCAAAACACGTTTTAATTCATTAATGCAAATTTATACGAATTAACCTCAATTTTGGGTTTGTGTAAGTTCCTAATTCTAAAAATAGTAATTATGTACTTAAATGAGAATAACAAGATAGTATACGTAGAACATTTCTCCAATATTCCATGTAAATGAATAAAATTCATATTTATTTAACGATCTATGCCCAATATTTTAATATTCGCAACATATATTTAATTAAAACGAAAATTTAAGAATATTAAACGAAGAAAATAATTTAGAGCCTTTCGTGGGATTAAAACTGTCACGGAAGATGCTGATGCCAGGTACAGACCGCGACAAAAGATAGCACATCTCATTGTTATGTTTACAATGTAAACAATAATATAGAAATTTTCATGAAGAAAATTAAAAACAATTCTTTATAATTATCCAATCAAAATGAAGTCTCCAAAAAGTGTGCTTCTATTATCATAATTAATCAAATTTTTGTTTGTTTCCCAAGATATTCAGCTCTGTTCCCGAAGTTCAGTGTTTTTCGAAATACTGATGAAATCTGTACGAATTGTCACAATAAATTTGATTGAAAACAAGCTCAATTTGTAAACGTGGCGCATGCTATCATCTTGTCGTGGACTGTATCAGTCCTTGCGTGAAACTTACGGTCGTCAAAGTGTTAAGTAATTTGTACAGAGTCTCGAGTTTCTTACGGGAAACTCGGTACACCTATTATTGGCTCGAGAGGAAGAATATGGTAAGATCATTTACACACTACTTGCGAGGAACAGAAGAGAGCAAATCACTCGTATTACCGAAACCGGTTTCAGCTTTGATGGAGTTTTTTTTTCGACGAATCCATAAACCGAAGGAAACAAGTGGTTTGCCCAAAGGTGACTTTATTTAATATACGACTCAATAATAGTTTTCATCCTTACTTAAGTTCATTTTGGATACGTTAATATTATTATTTTGCTTTGAGAACCTCCGGAAGATATCTAAATTTTTTTCATATTTTGAACTCACTTTTTCGTTCCCTTCAGGAGTATAAATTATAGACTATGAGAAATTTAAAATAATTTTGTTTTACATACGTATTATTACAAAAAAATAAAATGATTGTTAGGATAAATTAGATGCTTTAATTGTTTATATTTTATTACTGTGAAGAATGTCAAGGGTAAGTGATAACAAGGATTTCATGCATTTATTGCGTTAAATACTGCGTTAAATTTACCAAAATTTAAAAGATGCATCAACGTGTGGACTATACCGAAGACACCGATCAGAACTCCAGTTATCTTGTGAAGGTAAATGTGTTGATCCAATGGCAGCACATAAATGAAACCATGACTTCGTAGGAAGGTGATACACTGGCGCAGCATGAGGATTAGGATGAAGCTGCAGTTGAAATTCAGACACTGACCTGCATCGAAACGTTTACTGTAAAATCTTTTACTTTTACCTACAATTAAACAACTTAATTAATTGATCTCCATTTCAGTATATCAAAAGTCAAATGATTTAACTCCATTTTCTTCAATGTCTCTATTGTGATCATACGATGAGTTTTAAATTCTTTAAACATTTTTTTCTTTCTATTATTTTAATGTTCCATAAAAAAATGGGAACAGTCCTTGCGGATTCTAAATTTTATTTACATTATTTTCGAAGCTGTTCCAATTAATTTCAATTGGCGATGAAAACCATCTGGGGTTTGCTCTAAAAAAATGAACCTACTATTGTAAGATTTATTTCACCCATCAAATATATATTAAATACAGTCAGTGTAAGAAGTATTCGTACAGAAACCATTTATTTTAAATTGGTTGCTGTACGAAAACTTCTTACACTGACTGTATATATTAAACATTACGAAGTCAATTATTAAACATCAAATACGATCATCATGAAGTGAAGCAAGATAACAGTACATCAGATGTACCTGATGTTGATATTTTACATAATGATATTAATATTTAATTAAAGAATAAAGTGTATACTGTAAAGTTTCCTTACCGCAAGCACGAGCAACCATGACGTACCCGTTGGATCGTCTGTATTCGTAAAGTCTCGCCACGAATAAAGTTACATTAATCAAAATAAAGACAGAGATAAAAGCGATGTAAACGTAATTGTTCTTCATGTACGGCCTCGTCAATTGGTAAGGGCGCAACGACGCGAAGAAACCCAACAGCGATTTCCGTTTTGCTTTCGGTTTCGGTGGTACCAGCCATCGGTCGATACTGCGATTTAATTTCCGCTTTTAATCAGTTTCCCTTCCAATTAATGCGACACGATCGATTAAGCTATCCACATGATCGATCATTTTCTATTGACTCGGAAACGACAAAATTGTTTACCTTATCGTGAGGTTCTCTAGCAGTCCTTCGTGTTTCTCTAATTGATTTTTCAGAGCCTCGTAAGTAATGGAGCCTCGTTTGTCTTGATCAGCATCCTCGAACAACGCGATCGTCAGATCCTTGATTTGTTCATCGCTGAATTCCATACCATTCTCCTCCATGCAAGCTCTCATCACGTGCTCCAATTCGAAAAGTTGTATCGATCCATCACCTTCACGCAATTATGTGAACAGAGCGACGACAAAACAAAGACAAACTGTACATTAGAATGAAATGGTTTTTTTTTTGGTATTTGAAAGAAACACTTTTCCATTAGATGCACAGATTGATATAGCAAAAAGAATCTTAGAAAAATGGAACCAAGAGTGGTTAATGACTAAACATACTGATCTTCGCGAGCCAAGAGAAAATATATTTTCAAGAAATCCTGCTATTTCTCTGCCAAGAAGAGAACAAATTCTAATAACCCGATTAAGAATAGGTCACACAAGACTAACACATAGCCACCTAATTACAAAAGAAACCCCTCCCCCCCCCATACTGCACAAACTGCAATACAAAAATCACAGTTAAACATATAATAGATGAATGTCCATTGCACGATAATATACGCGAAACAGGAAGGCAACCAAACACCCTGAAGAACAGTTTAAACGACAAGAGTTGCATACTAAAAATCGTATCATATTTACAAAGGACAAGATTAGCAGAAGAAATATAGGCAGGACACTACAATTAAATTATTAACTATTTTTTTTTTATTATTAGATTTAAGAAATTTGTTATCGAAGTATGAGTAATTATCTATGTAAATTATTTATGACTCACATATGTAATTTATAGAATGTAAAGAAAATGTGATCCACAGTGGTCGCTGATGGCATAAATGCTGATGCGACATTAAATAAATTAAATTATATATATATATATATATATATAATTATATACTTTTCCACTGAATTGACGTAGTTGATAATGAAAACAATAATTAGTAATGGAAATAGGACGTCACATGTGAAACGTGAGCATTTGGTAGAATTTTGACTTGTACTTTTTAAGTTTGCGTACAGCTAATTAATTTACGTAATTTTCTTTGATCAAATTTTAATTATCGAAGAAATATACAGTTATATCGTACCGTCTATGTCGTAGACTTTAAACAGAAAGCTGATTTTGTCGTCAGGACTTTTCCCTGCGAATTGATGCATCGTATCCAGAAATTCCTGCAGAGATATGGCTCCCGAATTGTCTTTATCGAATATTTGGAAGGCTCTGTCTGTGAAGAATGGCTGGAAAAGAAATTTATTTTCGTTAAATAATAGCTTTTCCGTTGGTTTTTCAATGTACACATTCAAGTTTTCTACGTAAATTAATACTTCAATCTATCATTAGTAAAGAAAAATAAATTGTATTCTTTGAATAAGAAAGTATTAAACTTTCAATTTTTTATAATAAATTATTCGTGTCGCGGACGTACCTTCCCCGGTTATATGAAATCAGAAGGACATGATTACGTTACATATAACCGGGGATTACCATACTTACACCTTCTGCTTACGTTTTTCGAAGTGACGATCTTGTTAAACTCTTCACGCCTTATTTCTTTCTCGTTACCCACCGTTTGCTTAAACAATTTCTCCAACCATTCCAGACTGCTGGTGTCGAAGCCAGATCGTGGTCTACGAAAATATTCCCAAAAAATAGAATATCATATTTTATTATTATCTTTTTATCCATGTAGACATTAATATTAATATTGTTGCATTACCTTCTGTCGGTGATGTTGGTGATGAATCTCATAATTTGAGAAGACATTACGTATCCCACATTGTCTTCGTCGATTACTCGAAATAATCTGTCTACGACCTGTAATATAAAGACATTATCAAAGAAACGATCAAGTAGCTCTTTATTATGTATTTAATACTTGTTTTTATATTTAAACAATTTTATCATTAAGAACCGTTTGATTGACATTTGTTTCATATGTCTACGAAGATTAAAAACAATTAAGTTAGAGACTATAAATTTTATTTAACGTTAAGTTTCTATGCTACATAGTATTCATGGTAAAATTTCACTAAAATTAATCTGTGAAAGTAGTTAAACCTCGTTAAATTCTTTTAAGTTTTTGTTAGAGAATGTGAAATATCACATTTATTCTGCATGTAGGCAACTTACCTCTTTAGAGGAAAATACGTGTTGGAAGTTCGTGAGACTTACAGGATCATCGCCGCACACACTGTACACGACACTATCGATTTCCGCGATGAAATCATTTTGGCTTTCATTTCTGTGAAATTAACGTACAAGTCTGGTAGAGTCTCGTACTCATGTACAAATAAAATCTTCATTTTCAACAAAGTTTCATGCAAGGTAGAATATTTCTTACGTTAATCTACTTTTCACAAATTCGAACCACACATCTTGCTTCAATAGCCCCTCTTCATACTGGTCGAATAGCAAAAATAATTTTTCCAGCAACGTCTGAAATATTGGAGATATTGCAAATCTGTTGTGTAGTTTTGTTTACTCTTGGTTTTTATTAAGTTCAGCTATGAAATGTACTCGAATAATTAAATGCATTCAATTCTGAAATCTATCGAAATATATTAATTTTACATTTTTTCAGTCGATTAATTCCTCTTAATTCCTTTCGATTTTCTGGTTAAATATTTTGAAATACAAAAAGTGCGACATGTGCACTAAGAAGCGTTCTTTCGAATACCCTTAAACTTATTACCAGAAAATTTCTGAAAAGAAATAGACCTAAATAGACTTCCCCCTTTTAGGGGGGGAGTCTGGTCCAGCTAATGTATTTTTCTAATGCATATAATTTCCAGATATAATTAATTTTTGTTATTGAAACTTTTTTTACATATAAAGGGACGTTCAAAGAAGAAAATTTGACAGTGTAGATTTAATTTGAATGTATACATATATTGTAGATATAGTAGTCGCAAGGAAAGGACTCATCTGATAGGTAAAATCAGAAAATTTTTTTCTTTAGTAGGTACGTAAAATGCGTATGAACCTCAATTTGCAAAAAAAAAAAAAAAAAAAAAAAATTATTAATTGCAAAAATTGCAGCAAAAAACATGAAAATGATCGATACATATTGGCTGTTATTTTGCAATAACTTTATGTTATAATAATAATTCATTAAGAGTCGAGGTTCATAAGCATATAAACTTAATTAACTTCAATTTAAGCGTTGAATCAAGTGAATCGGATAAAAATTCGATGAGCTATGCGTCCCACCGTTTTGACCGAATCCTTTCCTTGCGACTACTATATATATACACATTCAAATTAAATCTACACTGTCAAATTTTCTTCTTTGAACGTCCCTCTATATATATAAAAAAGTTACAATAACAAAAATTAATTATATCTGGAAATTATATGCATTAGAAAAATACATTATCTGGACCAGACTCCCCCTTTAAGCGTGTGTTCTTGCTCTACTTCACCCTAACAGCATGAACAACATCTGGCATGATAAAAGTGGCTGGAAATTAGTATCCAGACGATAGTAGGACAGTGAATGCAAACAGTTTGGTCGAACAACGCGATTATTGGACAGATTCAGGGACACTGACAGGGTCGCGACCGCGATCGAATTCCGAGTATCGAAGACGCTCGAGGCGCGAAGGCTTTTTGGCTCCGGGCGATCAGCCACCTTGATCGAAATCTGTGGCCCTCGATAGATCCCCTTGCGATTTACTAAGATCCTGTCGCCGTTGCCTCCGCTGGGTATCCTTTTCCCTTAAGTCATTCTCTATTCGATATACTCACCTCACCTTGTTGCCATTTACTTGTCTAGTTTCAATGGTAACGCGACCTTGTTTTATTTCTCGACATTTGACTACAAGCTTTTTTAAGCTGTTTTATCACTTTCTTTTGAAGCAAACGGTTGTCGGTAGTTTTATTTAACCCTTAAATGGCCTAAGTTTCAAATTTGATACCGGACTTTTAAATGGAATTGTACACTTGCAATTGGTTTGTTTTTAATATTTAGCTGTATGTATGTTACCATTGCATAATGTTCTTTTCAACAAAAGTTAACAAAATAAACGTCAGCTGTGAAAATTGTTCAAATAATAAGTACATTGATATTTTTAAAAATTTATTTTGGAAAATCAGGCTTCCAAGGGTTAACTTCTGTCAGGAGGGACTTGAGTTTATCTGGACATACACTTTGAAAAGAACGCATTTTGGAGAGAATTTTTACGGAGTAGATAGATAAATAGAAATTTTTGAAATTTGTACTAAGTTGGGTTAATGTTTCGAGCGACAAAACGATTTGAACAATCTGGTATGTTCTTAAAGAAGAAAAGGCTCACTTGGTCCATGAAAAGCCTTCTGAAGGCGTCCCTATTGCACCTTGCGGTGCAATGCACTTCGACTATTTGGGAGCACTCCGCCAAGGTGGTTGCTCTTCTTGTTTTCATCACGCGTTTCTTTTCCAACTGACTAACGTCACTTTCCATTTTTCTTCGCTACTTGCTTTCGTTGAACGAGAAAGAAACTTTTCAGTCGACGAGCGAGACAGTTTAAATGTTTACGTGCAGCTTATTTTCATACTCGGTCTCCTCTTGGCACCAAAACAAACGATCCACCGAACTACGATTGTATTCGCTAATATTTCATACACGACACGCGATCGAATCCTCTTCCTAATGCTCTTTTTCTTCCTCAATATTGCAAAATTAAATTTTATTAAATTAAATATTGTTCTCTTCGTTTGGGAATTATTTCTAGTGTCCTGTCACTTGTACGCACATTCCAAACAGAGGCTATTTCAAAATATTAAACAGAAGTCTAGCTTGGAACGGTTGCGCGATTCGAATTATTGTTATTGCTCCCGTCGAAGCTGGTACAAGAAAGCGAGAAGGATCATCGAGGGACAAACGTTAACTGACAACTTGACTCTGGCTAACAGATCCGCGAACTACCGAATGAAAATCGCAGATTCTCAGCGACGAATCGCAGGATGGGTCCCCTACCCTCGAGTCTCTTTCGATAACAATTTTCAGAGAATAATCTGCTCCGATCGAGGAAGAGAGAGGCAGATAGATCACGCATCGAATTAAAGACAGAACAAACACGACCTTTCACTTCTTCGTGAGTCATCGTCTTTTTTCTCATGTCTCATTTGTCCCTTTTTCATTTTTCTTTTTTAAATGCCCTCTAGTTCGCCTACTTTCTCCTTTAACGATGCTTCCTTGGAATAGGACGTTATCCTTAATTCCATACGATTTAAACTATTGGAAGTAAAAGAAACTTATTTGGTTCAAAGGAAGACGAGTGTAATGACGTGGTTGAGTGTCATTACCCCAGTCCTACAGTAAATCGTAGGGCAAAGGGTTAATTGAGTTGCGCCGCGGTTCTTACTTAATCGCGACTATTACCATAGTTTTTACTTTCTGTATTTTTATTCACTTGTATATATTTTATTTAGCTATTAAGAACTGCTGACTTGTAGTAAATCTCAAAATAGGCTACCATTTCTCAATTGTAAGCCAGACCAAAGAGACTTAAATTATTTAATAATGTTAATAATTCGATAATCGAAACGAGAAAAGTTGGAAACTCTTTGAACACGTTTTGCCACATATTAATTTTATAATTTTATATCGTAGAATAGAAAAAAGAAAGAGAGAAAGGTTAAGACTTTCATTCCTAAAGGGGGATAGGAAAAGAGGATGCAACTCTCTACACCAAAAGCAAAAGAGTACAATTTGTAGAATAAGGAGCAAGCGAAATGAATAGATTAGGAAATTAGGATAAAATGTAGGCATTAACTGGCATAAAAACTAAAATAATACTAACGAGTAAATATATTTATTAAAAAAGAAAAACAAGATGTACAAATAAAACATACAAATAAAACAGTATTATTGTAAACCGTCAAACAACCAGCGTCGCGAAGAATATAAATAAATATAGTAAGGAGTTAGATATAAGCAAAGAACATTGTGAAAAGGAAATGTGTTTATAACAAAATAATTTGTTACACAATAAAGAGATATAAAATACAATACACGTTTTGCCACGTTCGTTGCAGCAATCTGAACGTGACTTTAGGATTTGTTTTGCGTCTGGTTCGATCCATAGGGTTGAAGGAACATGCGCTTTCGCCGCTTCCAGCTCCGCACCTTCGCGCATTCAGTAGCTCTCCCTCGAGTTCGCGTCCTGTTGTTTTTCCGTCGTTTTCCTTGTGTGTTAATGTTTCAAATGAAATATGAATGCTCGTCGGGAGTCGAGATCCGTTTTTAAATGGCCAATTGTCTAGTGGAGCCGGTTTGACCGCTGATTCGAAAGGACGATCGAAAATACTGTAAAAATCGGTTCATAGAAAGGTTTGATTTATTCTCTCTTTTATTACATTTAGATGGTTTAAAGTAGCATCGGATATCTAACTTTTCGTTTGATGACACTGACATGTTTGTTTCTAGTATGTTACTTTCTTTCTCTGCCAACGACCCTTACGATGTACAGGTTACTCGCGGTTAAATAAACATAGTTTTCCAAAATGGGTTTGAGGATTTTTAGTTTAATAAATGATCTACGAAAATGTACGAAATGAGGAATTTAAATATACAAAATATGCATGTTGAAATAAATTTACAAAGTAAAATATGCTTTTTCTGTTGGGGAGATGGTAGTAGATACAATTAAGTGAAATGAAGAGAACTTAGAGAAACAGTAGAAGTATTAGGTTGTCCCGAAAGTTTCTTTCGCGAGTTGCACTCAATTATTTTATGTGGTCGTGTTTATATAAATCCTTATAAAAAAACTTCCAAAAAGTAAAAAAATTACGCCAAGTACATAAAAAAGTGGAGGACTTAAAGACTAATCATAGAAAAATAGAAGATCCCCTAAAAAAATTCAAGAAAATAGAAAAAGAAGTGAAATCGAAATGAGCTGCCAGTACATGAAGGTGCTTTCCAACAAAGTGCAAAGGCGATACTGTATAACACAATGAAAAATTCGGTGCTTTCCAACTATGCGCAGCTAAAATGCTGTGTTCAACAGTGCAGATGTTCAGACCCTAATGACAACTTATGTAAACTAACTGCTCCGCACTTTGGCAGTGAAATGAAGAAGCTAAATAGTGTATCAACCACAATCTGAGACTTTTTAGACATTTGCCTAGATGTCCGTGGCCTGGAAGTCAAATGCTTGACTCTCTTTGTTGCCTTTGATGTCTTTGAGACATCTCTTTCCTACATCTGGCTTCAGACACATTATGTATATTGTAGTCTCTACGTTTGTATGTGTTATTCACAAATAATTTACACAATTTATTATATTACAATACCAGATTCAGTTCTTTAAGTTTTTAAAAGCACACAGAACGCAAGGCAGAAAGTCTTGTCGCTAGAAATTGAAATGTTAAACATGAAATGAGAAATAAAGAAAGACATCCACTACGTGTAATGCACCAATTTATTGTATTAGAATAAAATTCACGGCCAACAATGATATCATAAAAAGGACGTAGCAAACTAGACCCAAAGAAGATCGACCATCATTTTCCGTATTTCTTATCGGATCTTAACGGATGTATTACCAATCGATTCCTTATGTTATCCCGATGAAAATGGTACCAGACAAGATACAATTCGGATTATTTAGAAGGAAATTATACGGAAAAAATGATTTGCACGCTTTTTGTCTGTCTTCGTTAAAAATAGTCCGATTTACATAGTGTTTAGTAGCATTTTCATCAGAAAAACGTAAGGAATTCATCGGCGTCACTCCCGTAATCATACGATGCATATGAAGTGAAATCGGGTGATTACTGAAAGCCATAAACCGAGGGTTGAATTATCCAAGGCGCACGTGTGCTGACTTTAACCCACGACGGACCTCAAAGGGTCCGAGCATTAAAGTGTAAAATGTTTGTTATGATATGTTCACTTTTTGTTGTGTTTTATAAAAGTTAAAGAAATAAATTGCACTACTCAATTCCTGATGTTATACCGATGAAAATGGTACCAAACACGATATAATATCGATTAATTTTAATTATTAACAAGACAAGCGTAGAATTGGAAAAAGATTTTTCTTTAATTATTCCTGTAATATAAATTCTACAGACCACACTGTTACACATCAGAAAAATGTTATTTTCTGATACCATTGTTGTCCGGCGGCGGACTAACATGTGTACTCGGAAAAGCTTGAAACCATTCGAGTTGCCCGGTTCTTTCTGGCCGCTTGGTTTTTTCGGACCGCTCGGTTCTATTCGGGTAGCTTGAAAAATTCAAGTTACTTGGTTTCTTTCGGGTAGCTTGAATCCTTCAAGCTGCTCGGTTTTTTCAAGTACTCGACTAGGCTCGGAAATCGGGTCCCGGTTTGACTCGGCTTGAAAGCCGCTTGAATATTCGGTCTTTCCGACAGCTCTAGTGATAGCCTCAGCGCCAGTATACACGGTGGCGTATAATTTTTCATGTACTTGGCGTCGAGACGCTACCGCGTCTCTAGATAGACAATCTAATTTCATAGATATTCATGTTGTAACAGTAATGGAGCAAAATGAATCGTGCACAATTCAATAATATAATATTAGACATAAAATATTGTGTATGTATTACTTATTAATGAAATGGAAGAAACATTTGGGACAACCTAATATAATCGGTGTAATAAGTATTCGTACAGGAACCAATTCAAAATAAAACTTCATATATTTATTTTATTAATAAATTTTTGGGGAAGAAATAATTAATCAACATTCCTACATATTTTTAGAGTAGATTTTGCGTAGATTTAAGTTTATTACTTTTAATGTTAACTTCTTATTTCTTTTCTTATTAGTTTTATTTTAAATTGGTTACTGTACGAATACTTCTTACACTGACTGTATATAAAGTAAGAAACTTACATAAATTATGGAATTAACTGTATATACTTGGACCCCATATTTTAAATCACCAATTACTGTAAACGAATGTATTTAACTTTACGCCGTTTATTTGTTTAATGCAGATGTTGTCGGACAAACTGAAATTCGTTTGCATCAAGATCTTTTTTGTCTTTTGTACGTCGAGTCTGATAGAGTGTTACAACGTACCATGCACGTTCAACACGATGTGCATGTGCTGGGTTCGGGACGACCAGGATTTCACGAAGATGGACATCAGCTGTATGGGAACACCTTTTGCAAAATTTCCAGGTATGCATGTTATTCCTTGAATTACGGATGAAGAGGCCACTTTTTACATCTACAAATTTTATTCCAAGTTCGCCGCCATTCGTTCGCTATTACTCGCGACGAAATTTCAATCTTAAGATTTTTCGAACGAACCTTCGTATTTCAATCCCGAAATACAATGATGGAACTGTTTGCAGTCGATAACACGTGATACGTTCACTTCGTTTTTATTTCTCAATAAAAAATCAAGGTCAGCTTGAAGTTTTCAAATGGACACGTTCGGTCTCGATACCTCGACATGTGATTACATCAATTTTATTTTATTTAATGACTTTATTACGTAAAATGTGAAAGTACAGACGCGTGGTGTATAAACGAAACAAAATGAGAGATAAATACGTAGCAGAGCTGATGCAAATAAAGTTATTAAACTTGAGCTCAAAAACGATCATACCATTTATTACTGAATTTTATCTTTTTTATTTTAACTTTTTTGTTAAACATTTCTAAACGTTAGGAATAAATATTTAGATGTATTTCTCGAAGCGTTGGACTTTTCTTTACAGATGTCCCAGTGAGCTATGTGGCACAACTAGACGTAGTTGGTTCAGGGTTGCAGACCCTAGACAACGACGCCTTGACAAGCTCGGTTGACGTCGAAGCTTTGGGATTAATGAGCAATCGATTGTCTAATATTGGAGATAAGTGCTTTTCGTAAGTCAGAACAATCTGTGAAATTGCATGTGTTTACAATGCTTTGTTCATCAAATAAGAAAGTAT